AATCTGTACACGTTTCTTTAAAGTAAACATCCACATAGTAATATTAAACCGTCATAGATGATGATGATGATGATGATGATGATGATCATCTTCTTCCTCCCCTGCTGTTTTGTGTTACTGTGCTGCAGCCTCTGACCATCAGTACTACGCACATTTTGAGTCCCGCGACGGAGCCGAAAGCTACGTCTACTACCTGAGCGTGTGCGGACAGATCCTCAACAAGGAATGTGGCGACGATCCGTTCATATCGTCCTGTCAGGTGAAGAAGAACCCGCCCATGAACAAAGTGGCTGGAAGATATCAGAACCAGACGTTACGGTAATGGGCTTGTCTTCTTGACTGTGATGAAATCGTCAAATTGTTTTGAAAAAGAAAGAAAGAAAGAATTGCTCCACTGACTTCATGAATAACCCAAACAAACGCTCGCAGAGGTCAACACACGATTAAATGAAGAATGAACCCGCACATGACTTTCACATCTTTATATCAGATTGAGATTTTCCATCACTTGTTTACAATGTGAGGTTAAATCTCTTCTCCCCCGGGTGTTCTTTCTCCTCTGCAGTTATTCAGACGGAGATTTGACTCTGATCTACCCAGACGGTGACAGATGCTCCTCCGGCCTACAGCGAATGACCATCATCAACTTTGAGTGCAACAACAACGCATGTGAGATTCTTTATATTCTGTGGACGCCTCTCTTTCTGCTTTATTAAGGATTTGAAAACTCAAGAATTGAGTTTCTCTCATTCTGACTGAATCATTCTGTTATATCCAGATCGTTCATTTCACAGGTGATTCTTGTCAAAACTTTATTCTTCCCTCGTTTGTCTCCTGCAGCCAACGGCGGCCGAGGGAATCCCGTGTTCGCCGGAGAGACGGAGTGCACTTACTACTTTGATTGGGAGACGTCCTTCGCCTGTGTGAAGGAAAAAGAGGATCTGCTGTGCCGGGTCAGAGATGGCAACAAACACTACGACCTTTCACCTCTCACAAGATACCCTGGTGAGTGTCACATGATTTCTGACAGGGGGACGTCAGGACACACATTGAGGTTCGATGCTGCAGCGCATGAATATCCATGAATGTGCTCCGTGTCCTTCATGCCTTCTCTTGTTGCTTCAGACACAGACGTCAGTGGAAACTGGGAGGCGGTGGACGCTAACTCTCCAAAGCCGGACTCACGTTTCTACCTGAATATCTGTCACAAAGTCATCCAGACGGGAGGAGCCGCCGGCTGCCCGGTGAACGCCTCCATCTGTGCCGTGGGTAAGAGTCGTTAAATAATCAGCCACATCTCATCATTGTTATTTCTCATCGACCCGATGAGTGAAGTGTGTGTCTGCCTGCTCCAGATAAGGATCACGGGCCCATCAGCCTGGGAAGCTTCCTCTCGTCTCCCCAGAAGACAAAAACAGGGAACGACATCAGACTGGTTTACACCGATGGAAGTTTCTGCATCAATAAAAAGACACGGATCCACACCATCGTGACCCTCAAGTGCAAACCAGGTCAGTCAGTCACAGAGAGACGATAAGTCCGTCCTGCTCCTGTTTGTTTGTGATGTCGTCGATTCACTCTGCCGCGCTCTCTCCTTCCGCCCGTTGTTTTCCTGCAGGAGATCTCGAGAGCGCCCCCGTCCTTCGCAGCGTTTCCACCGACGGGTGTGTGTATGAGCTGGAGTGGTACACTGCTGCCGCCTGCGTGCTCTCGAAAACTCAGGGAGACAACTGCAAAGTGGAGGATCCTCAGGCTGGTACGACACACGCACACGCACACGCACACACACACAATATTATAAACAGGCCTCCTCCACTCACACACCTCTGGTCGTATCTTTATATCACATGACACTTGTTGAGCGTCCATGTGAATCCTTAAAGAGGCGACTTGTGCTGCCCTCTAGCTGTTGCTGTACATCACTGCATCTTCAGGTGTGCCCGGTTTAATGTTTTAATTGTGGAAGTTTAGATTTTATACAATTAGAAATCAAGTCACCCTGCACGACAGAGACGAAAACACAGCAAACTTAATAGAATTCAGCGGTTTGTGAAAATTTATTTGAACTTCAATCCCCCTCTCTTGTCCAACTGATTCTCCGCAGGGTTCTCTTTCGACTTGTCGCCTCTCTACAAAGACGGCGGCTTCTACAACCTGACCCGTGGAAACTACGACTACTACATCAATGTCTGTGGACCCGTCAAAGGTGCCACCTGTCCAGAAAAGGCCGGAGCGTGCCAGGTTGAAAAGAGGTAAGAAATAATCTATAAATTGAAATGAACGATTATGACTTCAGCCTTAATATGTTTTTTTTTTTTTTCGTCTGCAGTTCTTGGAATCTTGGGGAAGCAAACTCTCGTCTGTCATATTACGACGGCCTGATCCAGCTGTCCTACACCAATGGCTCCCAGTACAACAACAAGGAACACACACTCAGATCCACTCTCATCTCCTTCCTCTGCGATCCAGAAGCAGGGGCTGGAAACCCCGAATTCCAGGTCGACTCCTCACTTCCTCTTTTCTTTCATTGCTCAAATGATGCTCGTGTGTTTTATCGGAACCTTTCGATGTGTAAATTTGAATCCTTTCTTGATTTTCTGAATCCAGGTTGAAGACAAGTACACATATAACTTCCACTGGTATACATCCTACGCATGTCCTGAACGGCCCCATGAGTGTCTGGTGACAGATCCTGTGACTCTTGAGCAATACGACTTATCCAGGTTATACATTTTATACAACACAACATACGAATAACACATTTCTTAAGACCAACAAAACTAAGAGGAGCAAAAACCGTCCCCCAACAACTTTTCTTCTTCTTGTTCCCAGTCTGTCTCGCTCCACCACCAGCGACAACTGGCAGCCCATGGATTTGTCCGACCAGAAGAAATACTACATCAACATTTGTCGGCCTATCAACGCTGTGCCCGGCTGCGACCGCCACGCGTCCGTCTGCCAGATGAAGTTCGAGGAGGTCTGTAACAGCTCGCTGACTGGGATACAGAGAATGCTTCTACTGCACTAAAGGGAGGGATGTGTCAAGTCGTTTTTGTGTAATCGACAAATGAACGGTCATAATAACGTCTGCCTCTGTCCTCAGGGCTCTCGGAAGGAAGTTGTGTCCATCAGTAACATGGGGATTTCCAAGCGAGGGCCGATCATCGAGGGACGGGACCGGCTGCTGCTGGAGTTCACAGACGGCTCAGTGTGCATGTCTGACGGCCTAAAGCTCACGTACACGACACGCATCCACCTGGTCTGCTCCAGGGGGGCTGTGGTAAGTGAATGGAGTTCAGACATTAAAGTGGAATGCAGCTTGTTTGTGAGCGGTGTGTAACTCGTGTGTGTGTGTGTGTGTGTGTGTGTGTGTGTGTGTGTGTGTGTGTGTTTCCCCCGCTGTGCAGTCGACTGGCCCACGGTTCCTCATGTACCAGAACTGTACTGCAAACTTCATGTGGGAGACCTGGGCAGCCTGCGCCATCAGAACCACCAAGAACGATGTGAGTTCACCGATATGACGACACATCTCCAGTGTGTCCTCTGACGTTTCATCTCAAAATTATTTATTGGAATAAATTTTTAAAAAAATTGTAAAATGTAATAAAATTCTCTGTGTTGACATCGTCCAGTCTCAGAGCTGCGCTGTCACAGACCCCAACACCGGCTTTGAGTTCAACCTTCAACTTCTGGCTTCAAAGACGGGATACAAGACGAGCGCAAATGGGAAGGACTTCCTGGTAATACAGGAAATGATGTCCTCAAAACAATGTTAACAACGACACTCAAGATCCAACAAAAGTAAAATCTCTGCTTTTCTCCACCCTGCAGGTGAACATCTGTGCAGATGTGGCAGAATGTGGACCCGGCATGGCTGGCTGCGAGCTGGAGGAGGGGCACCCCTCCAGCCCAGTGGGGGTGGAGAAGACCCTCCAGTACTCCACCGATGGGCTGCTCCAACTCACGTACAAGGGGAAGCTGGACGATCCCTCAGGTGACAAGCACTCAAGATCAGTTTAAGGATTTTTAATCAGCTGCGTTCACATGGAAAACATGAGTGAAATGTGATACAGTCAGATTTTTTTATTCCGTCTCTGATTTATATTTTCGCTTCAGCGTCCCGAGACACCTTCACCATTAATTTCGTGTGTGATCCCAACTCCCACCCGGGCTCATTAAAACTGCTGCGAGAGGGTTTGACCACTCTGCCCAGCCACGTGGTCCACGACGTCCTCTTCGAGTTCTCCACCGCTCTGGCCTGTGTCCCTGCTCCCGTGGACTGCCAGTTCAGTGGTATGGACACACACACACACACACACTTTGTCATCTAAGTAATGAAAACCTAGATGTGGATAGAAATATAAAGGTGAAACAAGTTAAAGAATGAAACACTTGTAGGTTAAAGTGTGTAATTGTACCTCTGTGTTGCCTCCAGACCCTCATGGTAACAAGTACGACCTGAGTCACCTCATCCGGTACGCAGATGACAGCCCCTGGATCGCCATCGACACAGACTCGGTCAAATCACGCAGCTTTTACATCAACGTCTGCAAACCTCTCCCCCCCGTCAACAACTGTCCAAGTCAGTCTTTTTTTTTAACACTGTTCATATAATTATTTAATTTACATTTTCTAACTTTCAACCTACTTCAATAAAACGGCACACATCGTCTCGAATGTTCAAAACATCAAATTGTTCTCGTCTTGTGTCCAGTCGGCCCTCTGGGAGCTTGTGGTTTGATCGATGGCAGAAGTTACAACCTGGGATACGTCCTGTCGACGCCACAGCTGGCGGAGGACGGCTCCATCAGCATCATCTATCAGAACGGAGATCTGTGCGGTGCCACGTCCCGATACTCGACACGCATCATCCTGCAGTGTGACGACTACCCAGTGAGTGTCCGAGCTCCCACCGCGTCGAAGTCACTGATAATGTGACGGTTGAAGTAATATGTTTGTGTGTGTGTGTCTGAATTTCCAGGGCTCCCCCATGTTTGATCGTAAAGATGGTTGTGAATACGTCTTCATCTGGAGGACATCCGAGGCCTGCCCCATCACGAAGTCTCAAGGTATAATCACATGTTCACACGCCGATACATTAAAACGTCGGCTGTTGGATGATTCATGCAGATAAGTTCTGATAAACAACAAATCTGTCAGCGATAAAACTCCAGGATCGATTAATATTGATTAAAGAAAGACTGAAAGATTGAATAGAGATAATAGATCTGTGGTTAATGTCCGTCCAGGGGACGACTGCCGTGTCCGTGACCCAAAGAGCGGCTACGAGTTTGACCTGAGATCTCTGAAGGGACGAGATTACCCAGTCAGGAACGAAAAGTACATCTACCACCTGTCCGTCTGCGAGGGGCTCCAGAGAGGCGTCTGCACCCAGAAAGACAACGGCATCGAGACAGTGTCCTCCTGTCAGGCGGATGGAGAGAAACACAAGATTGCAGGTACGTGATTTTGTGCGATGTTCCGATCGCTCATCAAAAATGTTTGAGTCGTCGACCTCGTGTTTATCTCTTTTGTGTGTTTTCACACGTGCGATCGTGCAGGAACGGCAAACCAGATTCTGAGCTTCGTGGGAGACCAGCTCATCCTGAACTACACCAACGGAGAAACCTGTCATAAAATATACCAGAGGTCCACAGAGATCTACTTCTCCTGCCACCCCGACAGACACCCTGTGGGTTTACCACGCAGACAAAGACGCACTCAGAGAGTGCATACCGTAACAGAATGTCTCCCAGCTGGTTAATCACGTTGACTTATTGTGTGTGTGTGTGTGTGTTTCACTTGTCCAGGGAGTGCCACAGTTTATCAAGGAGACTCCAGACTGTACCTACCTGTTCAGCTGGCCCACCGCTCTGGCCTGCATCCCGTTCAGAACCACCAGCTGCTCCTACAAGTAACAATCCTCCACCACATCACAGTTTGTTTGAATATAAATGGAACAAAGTCGTCGTTATTATAATTATCGTGGCAATAATTCATATTAAATATGTGATTTGTGTAAACAGATTTTTCTGTTTGTCTGCTCAGTGACGGTCAGGGCCACTCGTACGACCTCTCCCCTCTGGCTTTGGACTCTGGGAACTGGGAGGTTGAGTCCTCGTCTGTGGACACGAGAAATCGATTCTACATCAACGTCTGCAGGACGCTGACGCAGCAGGGAGGTCTGTGTGTCCGCTCATTCACTCCTGTTCTTCATTTAGCACAACAGTCAACACTTCGAATGTACCTTTAGATGTCGTCTTTATTTTACCGTCCGATTTCTGTTAGCAACACACAATTCACATTGAAAGCTTCAGACTTAAACCTCCGCTCATCTCGCACCAGGTTCATGGAAGTGTCCCTCCAGTGCGGCGTCCTGCATGAAGACCGGAGATGATTACATGAGTCTGGGGCAGGTGGAGTCTGGTCCCACGTGGGACGGAAAAGTCCTGAAGCTGCAGTACAGCAGTGGCGAGGTCTGCCCTGACGGACAGCGCAACAGGACGAGCATCATCCGCTTCAAGTGTGACAAAGACAGAGTGGTGAGGGAAACACTGTGCATGTCTCCGATATCAATAATGATGGTTTATCCTGTTCTTATCGCCTCAAACAACCGAAAACACCAGAAAGCTCAGGTCTGTGTGCCGTCTGCTAACATGGAGGAGGTGGGGTGTATGACACCAGGGGGCATTCAGCGTAATTTGGTCTGATCTCTACTCGGCCTAATGTATTTTACATGTGTGTGCATGTAACACAAATGTAAACGTGTGTCTCTGTCCCCCAGGACTCCCGTCCCACTATGATCTCTGCCCTTGAGAACTGTGTTTACACCTTCCTGTGGTTGACAGCGGCCGCCTGCCCCCTAAACAGCAGCGAACATGACGACTGCAGGGTCACCAACCCGGCTACAGGTCGGTTTCTTTACACATGCTACACACATGTACCTTTTTAACAATATATTCTGATTTATTGACTCCGGTAGATGTCGAGCACCATGTGCAGGAATACGTTTGACCCTCAAACTTGTCTCACGTTGAACATCTCCTCTCCCCAAGGTCACATGTTTGACTTGAGCGCCCTGACGAAGGAAGGCGGTTACACTGTCTACGATCACAAGCAGCACAGAAAGATGTTCCGCATGAATATCTGTGGAAACGTGGCCAACGCTGGCTGCAGCCCTGAAACCGGTGTGTACATCCACCCGGAGGATCAGTAGCTTTTTGTTTACCCACTGACTTGAACGCCGCTTTATCACAGGCTTTACATTCAGTATGAAACAGGAGAGCAGGTGGATCTAGTGGTTTATAATTTTTAAGCCTTTATCAAACAACAACTCAACTTCTATGTCACAAGTGAAAATAGCTTCGTTTTAATCACCTCTGCCAAGAAAGTTATGTTTCCACCCCTGACATCAATCTTCACTTTAATATCTCGCAGGAGACAAAAACAAAAACCTGTGAAATATCTTGTTCTCTCCTGGTTACTGTTTGGTCTCGCTCACACACTTGGATGGGTTATGAAACCGACGATGTGCGTCACCTCTGTTTGTCAACTGCGTCCCACAGCACCGGCGTGCGAGTAATGAGAGACCTGAAGTCACCGCGCTCCTCGAATTATTGACTCCTCTTTTTTCCAGGGTGTCGTAGATGTTGCACAGTTTAACTGAACGGCTTCAGAAAAGCCACGGCTGCACAACAGGTCTGAATAATGAACAATGGGGATGTTTTTAAATTTTAATGAATGAATGCACAACTAGAAATATGATGGGATGGCACATTCCAGATGTTAATTAGTAGTTAATTGATATTTTTCATGGTTGAAAACTCATTAATCTTAAGTAAATCCTGAATTCTCAGCTGGATCTGAATCTAATCATTGGCTCAGGGTAGAACTTCCACCTCACATCACTACAATCACACTAACTTACTCGAAAAACCACTCAGCAGAACGCAAACCTCCTCCCTCTCCTTCAATTCAATCAAGCTGCACCGAATTACACACATTCATAGATATTAGTCGTCTAAATATCCATCAAACATCAAAATCCATGAATTATTTCATCTGCCCCCTGATTCCACACCAGATTTAAATGCCTTCTTCATCCTGCAACCAGGTTTCATTAGTTTCAGTAGTTTTTGCAAAATCCTGCAAACAAACAAATTGACAGGATGAAAATAAAAACACGAGCAGACTTGTCCCAGACAGAGTCAGGACCTCATTGTGTCGGCAGATCATCGATTCTCTGTGAACCTCGACATTCTCTTATTATCGACGTGTGCATTGTGTTTGTAGCTGTGTGCATTAAGGACACCAGCACAGCGGTGAGCGGCGGTCAGGTGAGCAGGAAGCTCTCGTACAAGGATCATGTCGTGGAGCTGACGTACGAGGGAGGGAGCCCCTGCCCAGCGAACCCCGAACTCAAACACAGCAGCATCATCCACTTCATCTGCAGGTCGGTCGCCCTCGTCCTCAGCTGTGCTTTCTCCTGTTGACGCTGAAATATTTTTCTGTGTGCATAATGAGTGTTGTGTTTCTGCAGACCCCCTCACATGGGCTCAGCCTCCGCAGAGCCGGTCCTCATCGACTCAGATGCTGAGACCTGCACACACTTCTTCTCGTTCCACACTCCGCTGATCTGTGAACAGCCTGTAAGTATATATATGTGTGTATATGTGAGAACAGTGACTCTTTGTATGACCCTGTTTCATAAATACATTTATCACCAAACTCTGTACCCATCCTGCACAGTTAGGAAATAGATCATCAGTCATTTAAATCAGATGTAAGATTTGTTGGGAATCAAACATCCCCCTCAGTCTGGTTCTCTTCTTCTCCACACCGGATCTTTCAGGTGACGTGTTCGGTCCAGAACGGCTCTGCTCTCATAGACCTGAGTCCTCTGATTCACGTCAACGGATACTACACAGCATCGGGTCAGTGAGCGGAGGTTCACACGGACGCTTTCGTTCAGATGAACTGATGATTCACTGAAGCTCTGTTTCTCCTCTCAGATGAGGCGGTGGATCCAAAGGACGGATCATCTGACTTTTACATCAATGTCTGCGTGCCTCTGAACCCAATCCCCGGCGTCACCTGTCCTCCTGGATCGGCCGTCTGCATGGATCCTGATAACGGACCGCCGATGGTGAGGCCCGCTGTCACATGTTGTCACAAAACAGAAAATGTTCGAAAATGTGTTTCGGTTTCCATCTCTTCTCTCTGCATCTTTATCTGTTTTTCATCTCTTTAAGGATATCGGCCGAACCACCAAAGGTCCGGAGATCGACAGTGCGACAGGGGAAGTGTCCATCACCTATAAAAGCTCCACAAAGTGCGCAGAGGACCCGGCGCAGAACTACTCTTCCACCATTATCTTCACCTGCCAGAGAGGCCTGGAGCTGGTCAGTCCGCACCTTTGAGAGAACAGCGTTTACATTCTTCCTGTTCCTGAGGAGGTCATTGACCTCTGTTTTGAATGCAGGGCTCTCCACGAATGCTGAAGCTGGAGTGCGTGTATTTGTTTGAGTGGGCGACGCCTGTGGTCTGTTCAGACGCCACCCACACCAGCGGCTGCAACCTCACCGACTCCCAGCTCGAGTTCACCTTTGACCTTTCAGCCCTTTCTGCTGAAGTCCAGGTGAGCTCCACTAAAATGACGCTCCGCTGACTTTGAGTACACGGAAGACTGTAAATCCAGTGTTTCCTCTCAGTGCTGAGGCCAAGTCTTTGTATTTTAGGTACCAGGACCCTCCAGCACCTACCACATCAGCGTCTGCGGCTCAGTGGCGGAGCCGGCCTGTAAGAAAAGTGCAGTTTGCCGCGTGTCTGGTTCGGACAAGATGGCTTCGTCGTTCGGCATCAGCAAGGCCATGACGATGGACTACAAACACGAAGAGCAGGCCGTGCTGATGCAGTACGGAGGGGGAGATCCCTGCCCGCCACGTGAGTCCCGTTACTTCAATCACCTCAAAGGGTTTCACCGTCTTCACGTGTTCTTCAGTCAGCATATTAAAAACAGCAGAGTTGAACCGAAGTGCTCAACAATCACAACAAAGACAGGAACCACAAGCATGGTTAAAAAAATCAGATGTACAATTAAAGAATATATTTTTTTAGAAAAGGAAACTTCAGTTGAAGCTAAATCAAGATTCGTTACAAACTAAAATTAAAACAACGAACCTGGATGAGGGACGCCACATGTGAAGAACGGAGGCCACTTCCTGTTTTAATACGGTGTCATGGCTGATATATTGATTCTTGATGAAAAGAAATAAAAGGATTTATGAATGTAAGAGAGCACTGAGATTTAAATATTAAAATAAATACGTCTAATAATTAAATGAGATCTGGAAAGCAACTGAACGTTCAAACGAGTGTCTGTGTGTTGCAGTGACCAATGAGGGTGAGGTGTGTGTGCTCCCCTTCATTCTCATGAAGAAGTCGTACACGGCGTGCACCAGCGACGCGAGGACCGACGGCAGGAAGTGGTGCGCCACCACCGCCAACTATGACACGGACCAGAAGTGGGGCTTCTGCAATGCAGGTGACAGAGAGGAGACAAAACCAGGCACTGAATCACATCATGCTTCAAAAAAAGTTTTTTTTAAGAAGTGTGGAGCGGGCAGGGAAAATGAAATCGACAATCAGCACCACTTTATAGTTTAAAATGTTTTCTTTTCTCTCTCTCTCTCTCTGTCTCTCTCTCTCTTTCTTCCAGCCTCTGGGCCACGTCGGTCGTCCATCTTGTTTACCTGTGACCAGTCTGCAGGCCACGGAACTCCGCAGCTGCTCTCGGAGACGGCAGGATGTTCCGCCACTTTCCAGTGGAAGACAAACGCGGTTTGTCCCCCGAGGAAGATGGAGTGCAAGCTGGTCAGCCAGCATCAGACCTTCGAGCTTCGAGCCCTGTCGTCCCTCACCGAGCCGTGGAAGTTCAGCCACAAGGGAGATTCGTGAGTCTGCGTTCATCTGCATATTAACTGTACGTGTTGAACTGTTTTGAATGTGACACCCGCTCCGGTTTTACCGTCCTCAGGTATTACATCAACCTGTGTCAGGGGATCCACGGTGGATTGCCAGCTTGTCCGGACGGAGCGTCCGTGTGTCGACACTCGGCAGCGGGACAGACTCACACCCTGGGCCGAGTTTACACCCAGAAGATGAGCTTCTCCGGTGGGTGGTCGAGTCAAATACGCTTCAGTGCACTTGTACGTGATGCTCAACGAGAGCCGGTCAAACGTCTGACACCTGGTTCCTCTCTCTGCAGATGGAAAGATCTCCGTCAGTTACTCAGCAGGAGACGAAGTCTGTGGTAAAGGCGTGCGGGCGAAGACTGTGATCCAGCTGAGCTGTGGCTCCACTGTCGGACACCCAGCGCTCATCAGGTAACACACACACACACACACACACACACACACACACACACACACACAC